GGACCAATGATTCGACCGGTGATAATTAAATCTGCCGTGTTTTTCAATTTGCATGATTAAGATGTTAGTTAACGTTATGTTGTACCCACACGTTACAGGTTGTTCATTCTCAAAATGTCAACATATCAGAATTCTCAGCACTGCACTTAATTATCTTCAGGAGCTTTAAGACTATCAGCTAAATCAATTAACTTTAATCTGTAACCAATTAAAGTGTGACTTTTAGGAATGCTAATGTGCCACATGTTGTACTTACAGTATATATCGGTCTGCTCAAGCACATACATCGCCAACAAATTTTTCAGTGACTTGAAGCGTGGGGGACTGGTTGCTTACTGCTCACTGAGTGTTTAAGCAAGAGCCGTATTTTTCAGAATTTTTTCTCATACTCAAATTTAAGTTGGATTTTTATGCTGTGTTTTATGATTCAAAAGAGGTCAGAAGTGATTTGCATATTTTGACATTTTAAACAATTCACAGTAGCTCTAAAAAGGATTTTAAAAAACTGCCTGAAATGAGCCAGAGTGGTTTTGAAGGAGCCGAATGGAAGGAACCAGCCTGAGTACTCAATTGTGCTGTTAATATCATACTGTCAAATGGAGAGGGCAGCACTTGACAATGAAGAACAATGAGTATTTCCAAGCCTTTCATGTCTACCCGCCACATGCCTATTGAGTAGAGCTCTTTTACTGATATACTATTTTAATGTTCCATTGACCAAGACAGCAAGAGAAGGTGAAGAGGAGGAAGAAGAGGAAGAAATAAAGGAGAAGAAAATGTTGTCACTTTTAATGCAGAGTTCTTCCACCCACTGCCATTTTGCAGACCAGCCCAGCTTCCAGAGTGCATTGTAACACACTGATATCCTATTGTAACCCTTCTATTGGCCTACAGGTTGTGTAAATAGCACAAAGATTAGCTAGACAAGTTTGTGACTGAAGGAAAACCATGGTACTTTTGATCTTTCAATCATTTGGGAAATCCTGGGAGGAGAGTGATTAAGCACTGGTCCCAATAGTCCCACTTCCTTTAAAGCTTTTTTTTTTTTTTTTTTTTTTACAGTAAAATAGTACCGTGTCTTTTTCACTGTTCACAAACTGAACATGACCATTGCAGTGTTGATACCTTAGTAACTGAAGTGACAGTGACTTACAGGGTTCACTTTAAACTTTATTTATATAAGAACTACAAAAACATGACCTAATCTGATAATCAGTTAATAGTAGGAATAATTTTCTAAGCTAAATGCCTTAAATTGTTTCACTCTAGTTTCTGTATTGTGTGGATTTACTGCCTTTCTCTGTTGTATATAGTTAAAATGAAAATCACACATACACAAACTCCTAGACCCACACAGGTACACACGCACATTTCCAGATGTACATTTTTGGTACAGTATATAAGTACAAAAGCAGAGTTTATACAGTGCTAATAAGTTTGAAAGTACATTTATTTGAGTGTCTTCATAAGTTTATTTTAAGATACATACATTTTTAAAAACTGCAGCAAAAACAAAAATAGATATTATTGTGCACAATTTGCAAAAAAAACCCCAGCATGTGCTACAAAATAAACTATTTTCAAAAGTATAATCAAAGTTCTAAGTGTCCCAGGAACTATATAGAAAGGCACAAAGTCAAACATGACTTTCAATAGCACCAGTGGAGCTTTGAAAGGCCCCAGAGAAAACTACATTTCCAGCGAAAATGGCATCACTTCTGGTTTCCGCAGGTAATGGCGCACATTAAACCATGTGATAGTTTGTGTTGATAAGGTGATGACATTTATTCCAACACAGGAAGTCCTATGAAATTGAATGCATGATATATAAGTAAAGCTCCTCCCTTTTCATATGCAAAAAGAATTATTGCTCTAACTTATTTGGTTGCCATTTAAAAAATATATGCAAATGGGATTGTGGGGGCTCCCTTCAACTTTTACGGGTTAAGCAAGCTTTCTTTAAGTAGTTTCTTTTAGTAGTCTTCAGGAATAGTCCATGGCCAGGCTTCTTGAAGGTCATTTAAAAGGTCTTCTTTGGCTTCCCTTTGTTCCATTTTTTTCAAGATGATCTCACATTGATTCAGTACTGATGAGGTCCTAGATCTTAGGAGGCCAATCGATAATTAAAAGTGTTCCATGATTGCTAGGATTTTCTTTTTGCCCCTTTGTTTCTTTTGTTTGTTTTTTTTTGATACAGGTGTGTTTTACTGCATTGGCAATGTGTTTTGGATTACAGTAATGCTTCAAAATGAGGCTGTTATCAGTCAGAGGCTTTCCACATGGTATTGCGTAATGGATTAGAATCAGACTCTACTTTTCTATGTTAATAATTCAATTAATTCCCCAACACTGTTGGCTGAAATGTAGCCACAAACTATGGCAGAGCCTCCACTGTGTTTTATTATTGGCTGTGAGCACTCACTGTTGTCTCCTGGCTGCATAGAGAGGAGCTAGAAACGATGTGGAAGGAGAAAACAACAATGGTTCCCATGGTAATCAGAGAACTCAGTGCACTGACCCTCAAATTTGATGAGTAGCTCCAACAGACCCCAGAAATGACATCAGATATCGCTATCCAGAAAAAACCCAGTCCTAGGGACTGCACAGATATTACAGAGGAACCTCAAGCTCCCAGGCCTCTGGTAGAGGACCCAAACTTGAAGGATAAAGACAAGTGGGGACGTGTCAAAGTACTAAGTAAAATGTATGATGATCAGGTGATCAGGATCATATTATTATCAAGAAGATTACAATTTTCAAGAGATAACACAGCAGGGAAGATAGAGGTACACTTAGAAGCTATTAGCAATAACACCAATAAAGTCAAGCAGAGCACAGGAGGGATGTCAAGCTAATGGGCTAGTTTGAAGTTTCTAGTTATCTCAACCTTAGCCCAGTGCTGTTTCAAGGCTCACTGCTTATTAAAATGAGTTCTAGGTGTTGGGTTGGAGACTCTGTGAAATTAGTGGGGGCAGCAAAATTATCCCTACTCATGAACTCCTAAACAGAGAATACCCTGGAGTGACTATCTATAAGTGTGGACAAGCTTGTGCTTTAGATGTCGAACAGTCAAGAAATAGCAGAAGAAAACAAACAACAAACTTTATATATGCTAACAATCCCTGTGGTGATGACTTGTTATGTGGAGTCTGAGACGTGGAAATGTGGCACACGCTGCAACAGCTCTGTGATTAATAGTACTGACAAAGCAGTAACTAATGATCGATTGAGGATGCTTGGGTTCCAAAGACCATTTCCCCTTCACTTACTTTGCCTTTTTCGAAGCCATCTGATATTTTGATCACTGGCAGGGGCCATGTCAGTGGAATTAATCACTAATTTAAAGTTGAAACCTTCTAATTTGCACAAAACGCTGCTCACAGAAGGAGATTTTTGAATGATTAGTTAGTTTCAGATTCACCTGATGTCAGTGGAGCTGTTACCCTACCTTTGAAAGAACGTGCAATGAATAACGACAATGCAAGTTTTATGAAAGTGTATATTCTTGTATTAAACATGAATTAGGGCTTGCGCTTTGAAGTTTGACATCTTGTGTTAGGCAGTGTTTATGTGTGTGTGTGTGTGTGTGTGACAGAGAGAGGAAGATTAGACTGCATCTAAGAAATATTAGCTTCAGCTACTGTAATATGCCTTTTGGCTGTTTTATTTACTTTAAAGTTTGGAGTATTTTCTGTTTTTTAAATGCACAGCCCCTCCCAAGCAGTCATTCTTATACATTTATCTCTGTCCACACATATCTGCTACGCTTCAAGTGTCAGTCGGTGAAATCTTCATTCATATCGAGAAAGAGTAACATAGCTCAAGATTTACAGCCTTATGCATTATGCAGTAGAAGCTTTTAAAAAAGATGATTGGAGAATTCCCATCTGAAATGCAGCTGCAACATCAAAGCACGAGTGGGAGGAAAATTAAATGGTACAAAAAATATATAATGGTAGACTTGATGTCTTTGCTAATTGGGATGTCTGGCACTTGGGTCAAAAGGGCTCCACCAGGAAAAACCTAAGAGGAACAACTCTCGTGCGTTAAGGTAGTAAGGTGTAACAACTTCTTGTGTTGAAGTGATGGGAACGTGACTTATCATTGCAACAAAGAGGAGGCAAATAAGTGCTCGGTGCTCAGTGGAAGGAAGTGAGTTTCACAAAGAGATTCGGGGACAAAGACAGCAATACGACAGTATACTGACATTCTTTTCCCGCTGCGCTAATGAAGCGCCCCCCCCCCCCATCCCCCGTGACTGCTGCTAAGTAGCTATACAAACACTAGAGGGCTCTCTATGTGGACAGCAGCACGGGCCTCTGTTGTCACTCATGCACTTTTCTGCACTCACACACACGCACATTCAGGCATGCAATGATGAGCGTGACCTTTTCACTAACAGTCTTAATGAAGACCTGTTTAACCTTTTCCTTTCTCCTTGTTTTCAAAAACTCTGGGATTTACGTCCTTTTTTATGCTTTTCGTTTCCTTTCTTTTTTTTTACACCAACTTTAGTTTCGAAAAATGTAAATAAATGTGACCATTGTATTCTGTGTTCTTTGCTTACCATTGCTTTCCGTGGTAGCCCCGCAGTGTGTGTGTCCATCTGTTTATTGTTTAACCATATCAAATGGCATTGTAAATGAGCAACTCGGCTTCGTTTCACCGGTCGTCTGGCCTATTTAATTTCATTATTAACCCGGAGAACCGAAGGCCAACGCATGCGTCACTTACTAAAAGAAAAAAAAAAGAGAGAGTAGAGAAAACACACACACTGCGATAAGAACCGTTTTACCTGCACACATCTAGATAATACCTACAGCTGCAGCCGGCAATGTGAGACGATAACCTTTGCGCGTCCGTGCCTGGGCAGAGCGGCATGCATTCATTTGTGCGCCTGTTGACCCGACTCCTCATCAACCCAATGAGCGCAGTGGAGGGGAGGCTCTCTTCGCCACCGTGCATCTCTCCTCCATCTCTTCCTCACTTTTCCAGTCGGCCAGCAAGCCTGTAGGAGCTCTTAACTACAACACCAACACTGTCACTCCGCACTGACAAACTGCGGGAAGGATTTCTAGCCGTTTGACTCTCCGGCTTTTGCTTATTTATCCACCGCCTCGAATGAAACGCATTGGAGTTTCTGGCGTTTTAAGGGGAGAAATAATGCAGCACTGGAAAAGGATGCAAGTCTCACTAGTAAGTACAGCCCACCACCATAATATATAAACCTAACAGGTATTATTGAGGTAAATTGGTGTTTTGTGGAGAGGTTGAACAGGACTTCTTATAACCCCTTTCTCCAACGCGTGGCTTCAGCGCATTTTGCCGGGCTCGTTTACAGGAGCGAGGTGACTCGGAGCGACACAGCAAGTCTACAGAGAGCTCAGCAACTTAGACTGCCTCTTTTGTAATCCATGCTTCCGTCACCAGTATAAGCCGGTCGTGTATGTCTGAATGCTCTTTTTGTTTTGTTTTTTTGAATTCTTATGCACGTTTAATGCGATGACACGGAGTGACTGTCTCCTCAAAGGGTAAAACTTCAGATAGAGAGCAAATTTGGGTAATCGGGATACTGCCTCAGACTATTTTAAAGCCATGAAAGGCGAGTAGTAAGCTCAAACTTTGGGGGTTTATCCTTTCATTTTGCTCGTTGACTAGCAATTAAAATCTCCCTATGTGGGAATTTCCTACCTTGGACAGCTCTTCTTCTTCTTCGCCGCTCTGTTCGCGGCTGAGCTGTCTGGACCGGCTGCTTTCTGGCGGGGAGCTGTTCTGTCTTCTTGGTGCTGAAATCGCTTGCTCTGTCACGCACCACAGAGACTTAAAATGCCGAAGAAATTATGTCAGTGATTTAATGTGACTGACTCGGAGAGAAGATTTTTAAGTTGGCTACGATTTGGCATTTTACCAGTTTCACTTACTCTCTCATCTGTATACAATTCCGTTTTCCTTCTTCTTCTTCTTTAATCTTTTTTTTTTCTTAACCTGTTCCAGGATCTCTTAGTCTCCGGGTCGGTGTCACAGTAATTCGGATCTCTTCACACTTTGTTATAGTGCAGCTTCAGGTGGAATTCACCTTCGGAATGCGACGCTGTAATCACACAGCATATAACCACAGTGAGATTCGGTGCATAGTAAAAGTTACCAAAACTAAGATTAAACCGCGCTGAAAGTAAGCCGTTCTGTGCTCCGGTAGCATCTCCATCTCCATCAGTTTTAGCTGAGGACAACTCAAAGCCAACCCTTGTACCTGTGCCTGTTTTACCCTCTGATTTTGCATTCAGCTGAACACTGCCCGTCAGACTGAGGGAAGCATTTAAGGAGCCGAAACTGTTCTTGATTGAAGGGCAAAATTTACATTAATTTACTCACTTCTTCTATTATGTGTTCCTGTAACATCAGTCTGTTGTATCCAATTTTGTGTGTTTGTGTTTCTGTGTTTACGGAAACAACTTTATGTTCACGCTTATCAGAAAACAGCAGTTCAAGTGTAATATTGCACATTTGTTTCAGTGAGTAAACATGGCTTTAAATACCATAGCAATTATTTCATCTGGATTACTTGGATATCAGTGAGCTGCAGTGCTGTTGACATGGCTCACCTGCTGCCAGCTTCTCTATTTAAACCTGGTGCTATTGCATGCATGCACGCACCAATATCTAAGGAATATGACCGCAGGCTTTAACAATGCTTAACCCGAAATGTATTGTCAAAACATTAATCACAAGGAACGTGTAATTTCTCAAAATCTATCAGGATAATCCCCAGAACAACAGATTAAAGCAAAGCAATCTGATATTTCAGGATGAATAGCCTCAGAGTGGAGACATAACCATTTGTTCCGTTGTAGCAGAATAATATGAAAACAAGATTGGAGCAAAGGGTCAGGCTGCTACAGATAGATCATTTGTAAAGATGAAGTGACATCCAGACTTCTTATCCTAAAATGAGAATTTATTTTCTTATTAAAAACATCTTTGTTGTATCATTTTGCTACTCTAGAAACATTTTTTCTTGCCTCTCATGCTATCTGTGTCATCTGATTTCTTCAAATGTTAATTTGACTCTGTTTTTTAGTTTGCTTTTGTTTTTGTTTTTTTCTGCCTCTCTCTGTCTTCATCATCTTCTGACAGCTCTCCACAAAACCAAGAGACAACTAACAAACTGTGATTTCTTCGTTGCAGGTCCCCCCCTCGGAATAATGCCAAATGGATGCTGTGCTAAGAGAGTTACCCCCTCACCAAATGCTATGGAGGTATGCCAAGGTGTGCAAGTGACCTTTACCACACCATGAATGCAAGCACTGCTGTTAAAGGAGGACACAAGTAACCTTTTCTTGTTATCTAACAAGGAGCGGTTGATCTGAAGAGAGGAGGGGGCAAACAACGCGGAGAGAAGAATCCCGTAAAACAAACAAACAAACAAACAAACAAACAAAACACACAGCGACAGGATGCCAAAGCGGTCTGAGGAGATGCTCATGGATCTGTGGCTGTCCTTGCTGCTGGTGTGGATTACTTGTGTTCTGTCCGTGTCTATGACTCCTATCATAGGCCAGTCCAAAAGTACACAAACTGGTGGGTCCGCAGTGGTGGCGAGCGGTGTTGGCGAAGGACAAAGATTACTAAGCCGCGCCAAGAGAGGATGGGTTTGGAATCAAATGTTTGTGCTGGAGGAATTTTCTGGACCAGATCCAATTCTAGTTGGCAGGGTGAGTGCTGTGATTGTCAGCATTATATTAAGCTCGCTTATCGTGTGGAAACATTAATTCGGCCATTTGAATGCTCCCTCCATTTTTTTGTTCTTCCCATGGGCAGTGGGAGGGTTGTGGTTGTCAAGGGGAAACAGAGATATGGGGACGAGAGCGGAAGGCAGCGAGAGAGGGTCAGAAAATGCTCATAGAAATAATTAAGCTCCCATCAAATAATGGTGGCACATTTCTTGCTGTTACATTTGGATGTTTTTGCAATCCAAGTTAGTCAGAAACAGAGAAACAAACACAACTGTTAGTTCTTAACTTTTACTTTTTTTGCAAAAAGTAAAGGTACACGATGAGACTGCAGTCCCTGATTTTTTTTTCTTTTCATTTTAAAATGTTAGTGTTGTATTTTGACATGTAAATGCATTCTTTAGACACAGTTTATAGCATCGATAAAATCCTTTGAAATAATAGGTCTATTTTAGCACTGGTTACATTTTCCATTGCGGCTGTGTGATGGACAGAATTGCAGGCTAATCCTGCAGCTAAAGGCCACCTGCTCCCTGGCCTGTGTGGAAGTGTCAGGCAGGTTTCAGGGGAGGGGAAGGCTGCTGGCCAGCCCAGCCAAAGCAGCTTGTTCACAGCTCATTGCTGGGATTCACCTGGGGAGAGTAAGGCTGGCAGCCACGCTCACATCCCTCCCTCAGAATATCACCCAGCCACTCTGGCATGGGCAGGGATTCAGGCCATCAAGCATAATATTTGATCTTGTTCAGTCGTAGTTTTTGCAAACAGTTTATCACAGCTAATATTTGATAATTGGTTAGTATGTCTTTTTTGTTTGACTTTTTGCCGTTGCAGTGAGTTTAATTCTTTTTTTCACTCCCTCTGTTATAGCTGATGGCTGGACTGATGCAAAAAAGTTGTTTCTATTTTTTTGTTTAAAAAAACAAAACAAAACAAAAAAACAAGGCAAGTGCATCATTTTATTCTCACTTTCCGTCTTTTTTTGTTCTTCGTTTATGCTGAGCGTAGTCATATGGCTGCATCAATTAAACATTTACCACCATGTGGGATTTGCACCTGTGTTTTCTAAATACCATGCTAACACAAAAATGCTGTTAAGTGATGCATTAATCTTTCAACCGTATCAATTAGGCAGCCACTGCTGAATTTAACAATGGCTGCTCATCGGAATTCTGAAACAAACAAACAGTAACGGATCCACGTTTTCCATTCTTGAGCCTGGATTTCACAGGCTAGATGTTCAGTAGCTCACAGCTGCAACTGAACATTTCACACATCATCACCCAGACAGTTATATATCCACAGATATTTAGCCACATAAAACAAGTTTCTAAAAACAGAATAAAGTCAGCACCCTTTAATAAAGATAAATATGTGGATAACACGGTTGTGATTTCAGTTCCAAGCTTACACACGCGTTTGCTTTGAATACTGTGCTGTGTGCCCCTGGCCAGAGTGTCAAATGTTCTGCACATTGTCAGCAGAGAATTGGTGGCACAAAATCAAGTTATGTTCTCGGTCATGAAGGATGTGTTCTCTCAAGGCCTCAGTTAATGCTTTGCAAAGTTGACTGTAGGATAGGTTAGTCATAGATGTAAGCATCTTCCTGTTGAAGGACAGTGCAAGGATTGGGGTAGGGTTGGGGGGCAGCTCTGGGCAGAGAAAAAGGCAGCTAGCCTTTTTTTTTGTAAAGCGATGATGATGGGTAGCGTTCACTGCAAGGTTAAGTGCTCATGAGTATGCCTGGCAGAGCTAAGATAAGTCCTGTGTTAGACCAAGATGGCACTGCATCCCTTTAAGACTATAAATCTCTCTTCCTTTCTGTCTCCTTTTCTTCCCCTTTCCCAGTGTTTCTCGTGCTTAATTAAAAAATGAATCAAATGGGTGGGAGGTGTGATTCAAATGGGTCACAAAGCTCTCTGTGTATTTTGCACAATTTTCTCTGCTGTGTGAGGCCGCCTGTGTCTGCAGTTGTGGGATGGTTGTCAGCGAAGTCCAGGCCAAGACTGGACTCTTTCCATCCTATAGCTTTTTTTTTTTTTTTTGCTGGTGCACTCTGATGACTATACAAATACTGGTAACAAGAGTAAGAGATTGTATTTGAGAGAAATTGTGCCATTGATTTTTAACTGTGTGTCAGCCACGGTGCTCTCTCCCAGCAGAGACTATTAGCATAAATGCAGGAAAGGAGGGGGAGGACAGGGAGGTGTGGAAGAGTGAGAAGGACGGCCATAAGGCGTGACAGCCCCCTTCCCTTTTGGTGTTCTTCTTCAGCGCATCGTTTCTCGACATTGTGATTCACTGAGCGGCGTGCTCGTCAACCCCCGTCAGTCCTGCTTGTGTCGCGGAAGCAGACATGCAGTACCTGTTAAAGTGAAGTCGGGGAGACAGCTGTGAAATCTTGTTGCTGTAGCTTAAAATGGTTGGCGTTGGAAGGGATTTTAGGATTACTCATCATCAGCTAGGATGGTTCAGAAATATCCCATCATTAAGAACAGAGAGCTAGTTCATATGGACACATGTTTGCTCATCGATGACAATGAGTGGGAGATACCAATACCACTTGAGCGAGTAAAGACTCTTATGGAGACCACTGGAAACCAGGCAGAGGGTAATTTTGGGCAAAGCAGCTCTCGATTTACCATTGCATTATCACAATGGTGAAAAATAGCTTTTATTTTAGTATAAAAAAAGAGTTTTGTAGTCGAATTTAGGACTTTTTTTTCTGCGTTTCTGTACAATGCCTGGTAAGGCATTAGCCATGTTTACCAACCATTTTGCATCTTTAATCAGAGCAATTTCAATTATTCAAACATACAACAAAGAAACTCAATTACACCCGGCCATTAAAGGCAAAACATTGCCTTAGAACAGAAGACAAACACTGAACAAATTGCTGTGTTTGCACCAAAGAGATATCAGAATGTGTTTTCTTTGTAGTGCAAGGCAGATTGATGGCAGTTTATGAAGGAACAATCTCACAGTCTCAGATTTAACTCTTAGCTTTACTTCCAGGCAATCATTTAGCATATGGTGTAGTATTGCTAATGATGGATTCCAGGGCTGAGTTGTACTCAAAATGTGTTAAACTGAGTGATCCCTCATCCTATTGTCTAGCACTTTTATTCACCACAGGACTGAATGCGTTTTGTGTTTTTTTCACAAAGAGAATAATGGACCATTAATATTCATCAATTCAGGTGAAACTATAAGATTGCCAAGAGTGACAGTGATGCAGAAAGAAAAATCTGGCTTTGATTACCGATTCAGCAAAGACAACAGATGAATCTCTACAAAAAAAAGAAGAAAAGAAAATGCTTTGTCTTTCTTCACATAGGTTCTTGGGGAAGAAAATGCAAGCTTTATTCTTCCAAACAAGCTGTTTGACAGAACTCCCAACGAGAAGAGCCAGAGCACTATCTGATCGGTGGTGTAATATAAGTCTGCTGGGTGTTTTGCTGGAAGCAAAGGTGATATTCTGTAGCTCTGTTCCCCCCTAAAATTGAAGACCTTTTTTCTTGTACTGACTTGTGTGAAATGGTTCAATCTTCCGTTCTTGTTTTCCCCTTCAGATGTACGTTCAGGTAAAACTGAAAGATCACAGCTTGAACCCATCCGCGTGTTCCTTGGAAAAAATGTGTCCCCAGTATGTGTTTATTTATTTATTGAATTTTGTATTTGAAAAGGTAAAATTCCCATCACTTCACATGATATCAGAAGAGAATATTATTTTTTTCAGTCTGTTTATTGTCTCAGCCTGGACCTGAATAGATTACGATTAGCTAGCACAGTTTTTCGAATTCGGTTCAGATCTTTTTGTTACTTTCTGTGCTTTGGACTGCTATTACAAGATGTGGCATATCACTCTATAAATACTGATGCAAGCTACTTTTGCTCAGCTGGATTGCCTCTCTCAGTCTCTGTCCCCCACTTCTACCTCCACCTCTTTCTCCTTCTTTCTCTCTGTGAAGGGGTGATTATGGAGAGAGTGGCTCTTGAGCCCAAGTAAGCTTGCCTCTGGGGCTGATGGGGTGTGGTACAATGACATTGTTAAAATTTCTCAGAGTGTTTGGCTTTGGCGATGTGAAGCAGTGAGGCAAAGCTAAGGCGAGATTGAGTCCTGAATACAGCTGCCAGAGAAGCCTCAGACTCCCTGGTCCCGCTAAAGGCGCCACTGTTGCCGCTCGAGCAGATCAAAGGTTGAGCTTGCTCCTTGACTCAGTAGTGCCGATTTGGCCTGACGTTAATGAGGATCGCCCACCTTTATCTGAATTTACTCTGGCTCCAACTGTTGAACGGATATCTGGCTATGTCCTTGATTGATGGATGAGGAGTGGGAGTTAATGAGAATATTAGCCGATTTATTGCCAGTGATTGATAGCCATTATGACACATAAATTATAAGCATTGGCTCAGATATAATTAATTCTGAAATATAGCCCAAATTAGACACAGGTTCCAGTGCCATAGTGAGAGGGTTGAATAAAAAAAGCTGTCACCAAATCCGGAAAAGGAAAGCCCATCAATGTTTGTTGGACTTCTTTCCATTCCATTTGGTTTCTCACACCCACAACAGCTCCTGGAATACAGCTCTGTAATCTCTCTTCAGGCAGCACCACACAGATCCATATTGAGCTACAGCTCCTCTGTCTTCCAGCTCTTAGATCTCCATTCCCTCTTCATTTGCAGTTTAGAGAAAAAAGCAAACCCCCCCCCATTCCCTTAAAAAACAAACAAACAAACAAACATTAAAAACACTCTAACATATCCCTGTCCACTACTTCCTGCACCTTCCCCTGCCCTGTTACCACACTCTCCTCTTTCCCTGTGTGCCTCACCTGTACAGTACATCACTAATGCCAGCAGGGCCATTATATCAATGGGCCATGGTCACATCCCCCCCCTTCCTTTTTTCCAATCTCTCTCTCTGTCTGTCCCTCCCAGTCTGTAATAAAATACTGGGCCCAGTGATGGCTCTGATAGAG